TTTTTGTCAATGCATTGTCTTCATATTTAATTTTACGGCCAATACTGCAGCTAGAGTATCAAAATTCAATCCAGATTTCTGTTATGTAGAAAATCATTCGTGATTGAAAAAACTTCTTTCAAATGTGCATTAGTTCCAGGACAACGTAACGCAAATTGAACAATAATAAATAAATAAATTTTCACATGGCATATGCTCGTCTTTAAAATGGCTGAATATTTATACCCATATTTTATCAATTTCAACATGCTGATTTTCCCATTGTTTAATTTTTTCAGGATTTAAGCATATGTTCAGTTTTATAATTTCTTCAAACAGGCAACTGTCGTCTATTGTATTCTATGGCATTCCTTCAAACAACAGCTTAAAACAAGGTGCAATATCTGTCCAATTTACTTACGACGAAGTAAAAAAAAAACCATCGATTTCTCCAAGTCCGACAAATAAGGTAAGCATTTTTTCTTCTAATCGAGATTTATATTAAAGGACAAAGTTATTCAAAATAAGAATAACTTCTGTACTTCAAATGGAAACTACTTCTTCAATTGATCGTTGAAGTCATGATACAAAAAAAAAAGTAGTTTCATTACTACTATTTTTTGATTATAAAGCAGATTTTTGACATTTCTCCAGAAGTAAACAATAAGCATAGCTTTGCCACATTGAAATTTTTGGATAGGGGAGATTTTCTTTTAAATATTTACATACAAACAATAGCAAGTTGATGTGTTCGATAATTAAATCTGAACGTTTTCTCAAGCGTTTAAAAGATACTTTGAATAATATCGATGTACAGAGATGAAGAAATACAATAAAATATAGTTTTGACACATTTATTTGTTAAAAAGCTGTTTTTCATTTTATTTTAAAGAAAATAAATAAATTTACATAACAAAACTCTTTTTTTTGTTAAATAGTCCGAAGAAGATGTAATGTTAGATATTTCGTCATTAAAGCATAGTGCGAAACCAGGATTCAGAGAAGGTTGAATGGTCTCATTGCGCTTACAATGAAAGGAGTCACAATTCAGAATTCTCCGGAAGTGAAGTATCTATAAGTAACACTGGATACAAAACTATAGTGGAAATCTAACGAGGAACACAAAACCTCTAAAGAATGGGCAGCATTTTGCCAATGTAAACTGGTCTTTAGTAAAACGTGGGGTGTGTCACCATAGGGAATCTTCTGGATTTATACCTCTATGATCAGACCCATAATTAGCCTATTTAGCACAAATAGTTGCTGGAACGGAGCTGCGACTATTGTTGTAACTTTAAAGTGCCTTGCCACTAGTGATGGGCACGTAATAGGAACCTTCCTATTACTCATCTCATACTCATCTATTCGCGCAAGTTTCATATTTGGGCAATTGGGCAACTTTGCGCATGTCTTTCATGAGGACAATTTATATTCTGTGCAATGCTTAAGTTAAAAAGTTGAACAATTGAAACTAGAATTTAAGAAAATATTTAAGTCTTACAAAAAAGCGTTGAGCACAAATTATAATGAAAGTAAACAAAATAGTTGATTGAGGATTGCACATCACACTGCGCAAATTTGCGCGACAAAATTTCCACGCAAACTTGCCCTTTTCGTGCGAATAGCTTTCCATACAAATTTTGACATCAAATTTGCGAGGGTTTTAAATTGCACAGTTTTCCCAGTTTGAGAGGGATAGGCGCTTTTAAATGAGTACCCTTAGTGTAATATGAGGGCAATAATAATCTTTTCCTTTTGGATAGCCTGCGTACAAAAACTAAAACGCATGGAAATTTGGAATAGCTAGCTATGCGTCAGCATGAACGAACGAATAAAGATCATCCAGCACGGCATGCGAGAAAAAAGTTATTTTTTTGCAGTGACGTCATTTTTTCGCCGCCATGTGAATAAAACGGAATGAAACCTGTGTGTGAATGAAAGAACCGATTAAAAAATGACGTCATCAACCATTATTTTTTTCTCAAATGCAATTACAAATACACGGTTGCCGTGCTGGGTGATCTTGTTAGTTGGTTCATGATGCGTCAGTGATATGGTGCAGCAGAGCATGGGAAGTCTGCTCGCAAAACTTCAAAGAACTACTGGCGTGTGCGGCACGAAAGATTTCTCTACAACACGTGGCGTTGCTCTTGATGCACTGCTGCACTTACCTTTACTTTGTGCCTTCATACGTGGGGAAGCCTTAACCCTGGAAGGTCATGGTTCATCGTTTCGACGACGCGAGTTTTTACTTTACCGTTATCGCTGTTTTCCTTTATTTCAATAGTGCTAATTTTTCGTACAGCGCTAGTCGGTGTTGTGCTGTTGATGTGTGCGGTTACTTAGATTCATGCGCTTCGTGTAAGTACTTATTTTTTAAATGTGCGTAGCCAACACGACGAAGGATGAACTTTGTGTATGTTTTACGTTTATGTTTTCAATGTAATTTTCTTAATTTTTTTTATTTTTTTATTTGTTTATATATTTTACTTGTGCAGTTGTAATACACGATCAATGCAACCAAAAGTTATACCGACGAAGAAAAAAAAAATGCGAAATTTGTCCCCCTTCTAAGCGCATAACAAATCATCCTATGCAAAATGCCAATAAAGTCTCTGTGGAGAGCATCAAATAGAGCTTTGCCCCTCTTGCACAAAATGAGAACTGTCGTATCTGAAATTTTTTTCCTTTTTTAGCTCATGGTATTATTTTTAAGAAAAAAAACACTTTAAATGAATTATATGTACTTTAAGTTATTTATTTTTTATATTTTCTAATTAATGTTTTGTACAAAAAGCCAAATGAATCAGAGCTGTGAAATCTTGAAATACAATCAAAAGACTAAAGAAAAGCTACTTGATATTGTTTTATTTAAAAAATATATAAACAAAATAATGTGAAAATAATAATTTTTGTGCTTTTTGAAACACAGGTTAATTAAATAACGCCTTTTAGAAATGCCGCCATGGAATCGACGAAGGATGACCTTGGCGTTATAAAAATAACTATGACCTTTCAGGGTTAAAGACCACCTGCAGGGTTAAAGAACACTGAGTGCGGCGATGCGGAAATTGCTGGCGACAGAGATTTGAGCACTTGTGTCTTTTCAATGCTATAGGATAGTACGTCACCATTACCTTTGTTGAAGAGATTCTATAATGTTGAGGTCTTTATCGGAGTTAATGGGGATAAGATTAACTTTTCTCTTGGCAAGTATGCAAGTATATGGACTACGTGGTTGAAAATAGGTGGAGCGGAAGCAGTTTACGTGAAGGCCAAGCTGCACTTAATGCACTACTTACTTCCAGACTCTGAGCGCCAGTTCAATCGAGAGTTCCTCCTAACGTCCATAACTATAATATTTATCATGTCATGAATTTCAATTTTCGTTATTGCGCATATCGAAGACAAATTTCCTTTTAATTTTGTAATGTTTTTTTTTTGTGTTTTTTTATGGCAGCAAGAAATGTCACAATCTGCTTAATTGTCAGGTAGTAAATATGGCGCCCGAAAAGTGACAATGAAACTACCTCCTTTTTTGTATCATGGTTGAAGTGGTATTTTGATTTTTCGACTCCTTAAATAAAATTGCGAAAATTGAGAATTTTTTGAAATTTTTTCCGTTTTTCGCAATTTATTTGATATTTTGAGGGTGTACGAGTCAAAGGGACCTCAGATTGGGAATCAGCGGGCCGGAATATAGTCGGCAGGTGGGGTCCGGTTAAAAGCAAACACCAATTTGTTTTGTGTGCCGGTGCAATCGACCAACAAAAGTATCGATTGAATACAAATATTCTTACAGACTTGCGTATAAACCTAAAACAATGTAGAAATTAACGTTAAAGTAAAACTAAACATACAAATATAATGTAGCAAACGAGCAATAAATGGGTATTTGCGTAGCCGGGAAAATAATTGACGTAGATAGTTGATTGAAGTGGCACTAGGTTGCAAGAAATCAACATCTAAGGAATTGAAACCCGTATTTAATTCTGCACAAGTACGAAATATATACAGGAGCATTGGCACCATAATTGGTTTGGTCGGAGAGCAAACCGAAGATATGGTGCTAGAGTGCTGCTTACACTTAGTCTACACGCAAATACAAATATCTAAAGGACAAATGTCAAAAAGGAGGACATTTAGGAGGACACTTAACATGGCTTTTAAAAGGAGGACTGTCCTTCCTAAAGGAGGACGATTGGTCATCTTAGGCAATGGCTTTATTTGAACGATATTCTAGAGATCACACGACTCATTTAGCCAATGTACGGGAAAACTTTTCATCCTGTGGAACAGCTCGGATTCCTGGCCCTCCTATAACAGAAAATGCATAAATATCTGTGCTCTTCAGTTTCCTTATAAGGAGGTTTATTGGCTTATATGACGCATCGGACCAATGTTCTAGTTGCAAGATCTTAGAAGAAGATTAAGCACGCTTGCAAGAGATCTCACAGGTGGAAATGGGACCATCGGTGAAGCTCATGGCATCGAAAGGGATTATTATTCCAAATGGTATCACAGTGCTAATTTTCTTGACCTATGTGTGAGGACGGTTCTGCTCTTTAGTTGTTTCAACTTAACTGAATTTGGTTAAAGAACGCCCAAACTCAGCAAACGGTTGAAGAATGACCTATCTCAGAATTTGGTTCAAAAATGCTCTATTTCAGCTGCCGATATATTGAATATACATGCATATATTAAAAGGGCGTTTTCGAAGCGGCAGTTAGATATGGCGACCTTCCCCTCAGCTAATGAAATATAAACTTAGTAAACGTGTCGACCTCGCTACTACAGTTCCTAAACTAGTCAGTATCTACCTTCGATAAAATTTCTGAGGGATTAAAGTTCTTTACAATAAATGAGAATCGGATGAATTTTTTGAAAAACTAAGCGACAGTATATGGTAGATTGATTTTAGTAATATTCTTTCATTGAAGTTAGATATTCATTTATTTAATAATTTTTATGCATATGTATGTATGTACATATAAATATGCATACATTTTATTTTACCTACATACATTTTAAAATACTAATCTTAAAACAAAACTTCATACTTAATGTATAAGTACATATACAATATTCAACAGGTCAATTATACTTTATATATACATATCACACACCGTCTTCAAGAGAGTCACAACTCAAAATTTGGCATTTTTGAAATTATGCGCTAAAAATGTACAAAAACTGGAGCAAATTTTTGTTATAATTTGTTTAAAAAAAAACTACGGTAAAGTCGCCCTTGCCCATATGATTATAGTTTTTCGCATTTTCTGACAAACGTATTATTTTGAGTTGTGACTCTTTTGAAGACGGTGTGCGATATGTACAAATGCATGTACATATTAATGTATGTAAGTATGAATCTTTAGTAACAGTATCATTGTGTCAATCGATCCTTGTGTCCTACTGGTCCTCAATATAGAGATCCTCTATGCTGCAGATGCTGCATCAGGCGTGGGTCCAATATATGAGGTTCGTTGGATAACGTCAGCGTCGATGATGAGCGATGTATTTGTGGGAAACCCTCGCGGGCTGCTGCAGCGGCTGCGGCAGCTTGCGAGCGCAGCAAATTATTACGATTAACCTGACGATAAAGATCGACACCACGGGGGCGTGAGTTGCGTCGTAGGGTGTTATTAAAGGTTATTTGTAGTGACAGACGCTTCTGTGACAAAGCTGCCAATTGCTCAGGTGATAGCTCAATGATCTGTGGAGCATGCGGCGAGGGAACGGTGTATAGCGTGTTTGCATTATTAGAGTTTGCGTTGTTCCCCGCCACACAAGTGCACGCGGAGTTGACTGAGATGTTGTCACCCTCGCCTATCACGCCGTTTTCCATATTGAATATCCGGTTTTCCTTAGATGTGTTGGCTGCGACAACTGGGTCTTTCTCAAATATCTTCACCACAGGCATGTGTGGCGTAAGAATTATGCCAGCCTTTCGGAATTCCTCCAAAGCATCGTCGTACGTAGGCAGTCCGGAAACGATGGTGTATGATGGAAGGGACTCTACCTCATACTCTGGAGGAAAGTGACGACAAATCTCACCTGGCTCCGGATTAGTGCGATCTGAAAAAATTAAAAAAAGTATTATAGATTAGTCATGAAACGAAGGCTATATTTGGATATAGGATTATTAGGGTACTTTCTTCTAATTGTACTAAAGAAACTATAGATTATGGAGACATCAGGTTCGATTGCCATATGAGGAAATAAATTATGTTATATTAAAAGTTTATCATGTTATTGCAATAACTGCTGAAGACATCTTTCGTTTGCATTGTTTTCTCTAATGCCAGTGTTCAAAATTTCCCTTTGGGTAATTAGTGGGGCTTTCCGGCCGACAAAATAAAATGTTTGCTCTTTCTGCTATGCGTTTCGGCGTACTTCAAGCCTTCATATGGGAGTATATTAAATTAGTATAACTATATAACAAAAAACATTGAACTAACCACTTTCATTTGACATCACTATCTTCGCCCACCTGCTCTTGTATTCTTGTTAGTTTTTTCTAAATCTTAATAAAAAATATCAGAAAACATTTACAAAATAAGCTAACCGATGACACATCTGATTTTTACGGTTATTTCTTTAGTGTATGCTCACAGGCATAGTACTATATTTTTTTGCTGGCTGAGTACCTCTTGAGCCTATACTCTATGTTTGCAAATAAGTTTGCTATTTTTGAGTCGATAACGTTTGAAGCCCATTAAGAAGGCCTTTATTACGACTCAGTAAAAATGTTTCATTTCAGACGATTTTATTACAAGCTTTTATTTAACTTGGCCTTCCCGCGGAAATTTCCAATCGATTTTAAACTAACTTCCCGACAAGGTAGAGACTTGCCAAAGAACGTAAAACCACTATAAAATTGTTAAAGCTGCCGGCGGTAGTAAATAAGAAGTATAGTTGCAGGCGCTAGTAAGGAAATCAACTTCAATAGTGTTTAAACTGCCAAACTGTTAAGTTTTAAGCACCTTTGTTAAGAATTACATTATTTGGTTTCCTTACACAGGGAGTTATGGAAATATAGATACACAATAAAAGCCAAGCATAATTCATATGCATGCATCTTAAAAGTGTACATACATAGGTACTTCTACTATCGCGCAGACGAAAAAAATTTCAGTTAGTACGATCAGGGTTACCAACTATACTTAGCTATGAAGTGCCATATTGAGGATAAAATCATGATACAAAAAAGAAGGTAGTTTCATTGTCACTTTTCGGACGCCATGTTAACTACCTGACAAATAAGCAGATTGTGACATTTCGTGCTGCCATACCTAGTCGTCAATAATCATTTATTTATTGTGAAAAAATTATTTACAAAATTAAAAGGAAATTTGACTTCGATCTGAGCAATAACGAAAATGGAAATTCATACATCGCCATATTTGAAACACAACCACCCAAGTTTTTCTTTAAATCAAAAGACCACTAAATATGTTGTCCACCGCAAAAATTAGTTATTATTAAATTCATTTATTCCAAAGCCAATCACCGAAAAGGATTTGGATGTGCTTTACAAACGTTAGCCCCAGTAAGGCTTTAATTTCGGTGCTTCATGATATAAGAGATAATATAGTTATGGACGATAGGACGTACTCTCGATTGAACTGGCTCCGAGAGGTTGGAAGTAAGTAGTTAGAGGGTAGCCCAATGCCTTAAGTGCAGCTTGTCTGTCACCGCAGACATGTAAACTTATTCCCCTCGACCTATTTTCCACCACGTAGTCCATGGCCTTGAGGATTGCAAATACCTTAGCCTGGGATGCCGAAGCATACTTCCCAAGAGAGAAGTTAATCTTATCCCCATTAACTCCGAAATAGACCCCAGATCTTGACACAGAATCAGTTTTGGAGCCATCAGTGAAGATTCGATTATGTGTGAGTCCGGGCTCAGTGCTGGTATTAAACCAGCATTCAGCCTCAGGGAACTCAACATTATAGAATCTCTAAAACAAAGGTAGTGGTGGCGTACTACCACCCCGTGGCATTGAAAAGACACGAGTGCTCAGATCACTGCCGCTAACAATTTCCGCCTCGCCCCACTTAGTGTTATACCGGCATCCGTTTCTTTTTAGTCTGCAAGTGGCCTTTAAGTAGGGCTGCCAGACGTCCCGGTTTTCCCGGACATGTCCCGGTTTTAGACTATTTGTCCCGGTGTCCCGGTCCAACCTTAAAATGTCCCGGGTTTCGTTTAAGTGTCCCGGTTTTCGATTTGATTGCACAAATTTTGCATAAAAATGACTACACTGAGAGATAAAACGCGTTGTAATATTAAGAAAAATTTTATGAATTTACTGGGGGAAATAACGCATAGTAAACATGAATATGTTTTATTTGATTATCGTTTTAAAATGTTCGTATTTAAAAACAATACTTTTATACCACGCACACGTGGTGTTGAATCAAACTGCACATTTGAATGCACATTTACATGTCTGGCTGTAGCTGAGTGCAGGAAGATGCTTGCCACAATTTGCTAATTTCCAGAGCATCAGGGTTCAATCCTTTTACAGGCAGCATGGAATTTAAATATATTTTTTTAACTTAATTATGAAAAAGCATCCGTTAAGTGCAGAGCGCTTCATTTTAATATTGGCGTATTTCAATTGAATAATTCTATACTAAATACTAAAATGTATTACGAGTTGGGTTGGTGCTCTTTCATATGCGGATTTTTTTTTTAAATTTAGCACGTTTTGCACAAGCAATAGTTGATGATTAATATATGTAAGTATTTACCTAAATACGTTAAAATGACATGCGTAGAGTTTTACAATTATATTAAGCAAAAGCCAGAAGTTTTGAAAAAAGTTCACAGCAACGAAACAAATGACTGATATTTTAATGTTACCTTGTATATATATANTAAGTATTTACCTAAATACGTTAAAATGACATGCACAGAGTTTTACAATTATATTAAGCAAAAGCCAGAAGTTTTGAAAAAAGTTCACAGCAACGAAACAAATGACTGATATTTTAATGTTACCTTGTATATATATACTTCTTTTCGTGAAACCTAAATAACTTATAAGTAAGTAAAGTGCAAGTCTGAAATGACCAGAAAATTTCGTTGATTTTTTGCAATTATTTATTTTTTGCTGACAGTGTCTTCCACATACACAAAAATGTCGAACATAGTTTGTATGGAAGAAACTCTCAGTAAAAACAATACCAAAAATCAACTAAATTTTTATGGGCTGCAAAACTTCATTTTTTAAATTTTTATAAAAAAGTCTGAATAGAAAGTTTCGCATATGTATGCAAATTTATTGCATTTTCCCGAGTTTTGCACAAAGTTTTGAAATTTTATTTTTATGTTTTCTGATGTATTTAGTATAAACTGTATTTTTATAAGGAAGAAAAAAGGTTCATGCATTGTGAAAAATTCTCTGTGCTTTAGTTGTGATAAATTGTTTTGTTATGCTGGTGTACGTTGTAATGATCTCATGATCTCATGTTTTTATGTTTTTGTTTTTGTTTGTCAAAATACAATTTTACTACATCCTTTCGTACATAATTTTTGTCGAAACGAAAGGGAAGGGAACGAGAGGCCTCTCCCCCCCTTAAGTGTCCCGGTTTGGCAACGGAGATATCTGGCAGCCCTACCTTTAAGGCTTCCCTACTTATGAGTGATGGTAAGTGCAGCAGTGCATCCATAGCAGCCCCACACGGCAGGTATGTAAGCATACTTCCCACGCTCTTGAATGAGAATCTGCTCCACCATACCACTGACGCATAGCTAATTATGGGTCTGAGGTATAAATACACAGGATTACCTATGGTGACACACCCACGTTTTGCCAAAGACCTGTTTACATTGCCAAAATGCTGGCAATTCTTTAGAAGTTTTGGGTTCCATGATAGATTTCCACGATGGTTTTGTATACAGAATTACTTCTAGATACTTCACTTCAGGAGAATTCTGAATTTTGGCTCCTTTAATTGTGAGGGAAATGACACCATTCAACCCTGGTTTCGGATCATGCTTTAATGACGAAATATCTAACAGTTTTGTTATGTAAATATATTTATTTTGTTTAAAATAAAATAAAAAAAAGCTTTTTAATAACATTAGNTATCTAACAGTTTTGTTATGTAAATATATTTATTTTGTTTAAAATAAAATTAAAAAAAGCTTTTTAATAACATTAGTTATTATAAATGTGGAAAACTGGATTTAATTTTATTTCTTCATCTCTGCACATCGATATTATTCAAGGGATCTTTTAAACGCTTGAGAAAAACGTTCAAATTTGATTATCGAACACATAAACTTACTATTTTTTATGTAAATTTTACTCTTTTATTAAATTCTAAATATTTAAAAGAAAATCTCCCCTCTCAAAAAATTTCAATGTGGCAAAGCTATGCTTAATGTTTACATCTGGAGAAATGTCAAAAATCTGCTATATAATCAAAAAATAGTAGTAATGAAACTACCTTCTTTTTTGTATCATGTAAATAGAAAATTAAAAGTGCCAAAAAAGCTGTAATTCTTTTTAGTTCTTCTTATTTAGCATTAAAATTACAAACACATTCCTAAAACAAAAGTCCAATGCAAAGTAAGACAAACCAGTTGTATACGCTATAGAAATTAGAAAATTTTAGTTGACAAAAAGAAGTACACGCAAAGGATTTCACAAAAATGAATGGAAATATTATTATTTTTCAAAAGTGCCAAGTTGAAAAATTAAGTGCCAAATCNATTAAAATTACAAACACATTCCTAAAACAAAAGTCCAATGCAAAGTAAGACAAACCAGTTGTATACGCTATAGAAATTAGAAAATTTTAGTTGACAAAAAGAAGTACACGCAAAGGATTTCACAAAAATGAATGGAAATATTATTATTTTTCAAAAGTGCCAAGTTGAAAAATTAAGTGCCAAATCGAAAAATTAAGTGCCATTTGAAGTAAAATACGGCCAAAAATGGCACGGTTTGAGCCAAGTTGATAGCCCTGTGTACGATGTGTTTCTTCTGAATACTGTTAAGGCGATGTGGATAATGCTGCATAGTCGTGTGCCATGGGATGGTAAAGGTAAACGGAAAATAA